GTGTTTTGGATTTAAGAATCCAATCTTGGATTTTCTCAAAGAAACGCAACCTAAGTCAATAACCGATGGAGCAGATTAAAATATCTGCTTGTCAGGTTCTAATGATTTTTTAGTATTTCCCAAATTCAAACTACAGCGAAACTTAAAGGAGCTCAGCCATGATATTTTGAGTTATTTTGGCCACATACAAAATTACCTCTAAATGGCAGGAAACCTGAAAATAACAGTTTAATAAGATAGAAAAACACCAAAGAGATAATGCTAAACCATAAAGGAACAAGGATGGCTACGGATGGAGAAGATTAACACAGATTACAAACGATGAATTTCAAGAATTGAGGCTAAACTTTTCAATATGCACAAACTGTGACGTAGCTCCTTTAAGCAACAGAGCACTTTTTCGGTGGTTACAAAGCCTCATCTAAACACGAGGGGGATTCAGAGAATTGGAGAGTTATGCAAATCTGAGACGCATTCAAGCATTTCCATAACTTTTGAGAATTCTCCCAACCCTCTACGTGTTTAGATCAGAAAATGTAAACACAAAAAGTACTCTGGCTTTTATAAAATGTTTCTCAAATATATGCATGAATCTAAAATGTCACAACCATATTTACATAATCTCATCTAAACATACCTATCGACCATTCAGACCGCACACAATATTTCAGTTATTTTATAAATTGCAATGGCACATTTTACAGTTGTGCCATTAGCAATCGATATTAGACCTTTGAGCTGAAGTGAAACAATAATTTAGTTGTGATACAGATCTTCCAGTTTTTCAGTGGTAAATTATTCTGTTATGTTAGAGTTTGTTGGGTAGTTTTACTCTATATACTTTTAAAATACAGAGACTTAGTTACATGATGTCACCAATCTGTAAAATGGTGTAGTTTCTTCAATTTATTTCCAGTGACGATGTTGACATCTTAGTTGTAAGTATTTAGTTTAGGAGAGAAAATCAAAAGCTTGATATATAATTCAGCAACATTTTGAGTAACTAATCAAATTGTTCTGTAGGTTGGTTACCCCTTACTTAAGTCCTTCAAACTAAATCTATAGTTGATATACATATTTACTTCAGTCTGTCGTAAAAAGATGAGTTATAGTTTAATTTACATGTCACATGAGACCACACCCACAAAGTCATACATTAAAATCTGCCAAGTCAGCATGACAAATATTGAAAATAATGGTTATATTCCTTGACAAATACATTCCAAGAGGAACAAGTAAAATTTGCTCTACAGGGAAACAGAAATATCTTGTTTGGGCTTTCGTACAAGTTGAAATTCAATTACAGTTCATTGATTCAATGAAGATCGCATGTGTCAATACAATGTCGGAGACTGTTATAACACACGCACCTTTAGTAAAAGATAGAAATATGTACATGAGAAGTTTCCTACCGCGATTGAGTACACAATCGAGATATGAAATCGAAAGTTTGCCTCTTTTTAACTAAGAGTCCATTTTTAAAAATATTTTGTAGAATTTTACCGATTTGTACACTAAAACATCACAATGCTACAGAATAGAGTATCGATATTTACGCTTAAACGAACAAAACATATACCTACGGCTTAAAATCCACTGAATTACCAAAATATTGCCTTCCTATCGAAATAAAGGCCATTCTTGAAAATCTGGGGGCTTTTACTACGATCATAAACACGAGTACAGTTCAAACACGAAAATTGTATAGTCAGCATTCGATATGTGCTAGTTTGTAAACAAAGTCCGCCGCAATGAATCTCACTTGATAGTATTTCATTCATCGGGATTCGTCGCCTTCGTCCTCTGAACGAAACGAAGATTTCCTCGACCTCGATCGATAATCGTCTGAAAGATCAGATTCCTGTGAATCTTTGAAGTTACTTTGCTCTTCTTCGATTCCCACCACGTCAACTTGAATCTCGTGTTCGGCCGTTGATGATGACTCGCGATTGCCGACCCCAATCAACTGCAAACCCACCGTTTTTGTTCTGTTAGTCAATAACTTTTGTAGCGAATCGTATTTTTTCCTCGCTTCGTCTCTCTCTCTCTTCAAATTATCGTTCTCTCTGGAAAGCTGCTCTAAGTCTTCACGAAGTTGCTGCCTCTCCACCTCTAAATCCTCTTTTTGTCGTACACGTTTCGTCCGACTGTTTTGAGCGTAACCGCGGTTCTTCAACGTTCTCCTCCTCTGCTTAATTCGGTACACCTCGTCATCTGAGACGCCACGCAGAACGCTGTTTAAATCCTTGACCGGCAAGTTAACTAAAACTTCGTCAGTCAAGTTGATATCTCCACCATCCTCTTCTTTCTTCACTCGTTTTACGATGGCGGGCTTCTCTTCTTCCGCCATGATGCCGCCCCAGCATCCTTTGTTGTACGCACGTAACACAATGCCTTCAGCTTTCCGAGAATTTCGATTCCTCCAAGGGTTCCAGTGTCAATGTTGATCTGCAGTTATGGGTCAGGCTAAGGTCTCCCCAGGGAATAAAATCTCTTCCCTCCCTATCTATTTTCCACCCGAAGGCTACCGGAAGTTAAAAGGGGTTGAGCGAGCCTAGGGCTGGAGTCCCGGGGGGTATTCCCTATACAAGGAGCCTCCACCCAAAGGGGGTTCTCTCTTCTGGCTTCAGGTACATAACAGGGTAGGGATTTCACAAGCTGGTGTGTAAAAATATAGGAAAATCTGTCATTTAGTTACTTTAACAGATGCACCTCATGGCCATCATTTAATTTATTAGGCACTACATGAAAATGACAAGAAGACTTCCTTTTTTGGTGATTTATTCACAATATGGTACAGTATGTGAAAGGGGCACCTTTTTTCTAGTAAAGGCATACAAAAGGGGCATCTTTTCCGTCAAAGTGGTGTACAAAAGGGTGAGTGGTTGGACCTTGGGGCTGAGCATAGAACTTTGTGGGAAGTCTTTGTGGAACTTTGGGTAAGTCTTAGATTCGTTGCTCTCTCAGCTCAGTGAAACCTAGGGTTTGGCCAGTGGCACTTACTACCCATCAGTTGGAGCAGAAGCCCATGGTATGAGAGTATTTATAAGTATTAGTAAAGAAATGCCAGCTTCCCACTCACCCCCCCTCCCAACCCCAGTGCCCCAATGTCCAACTCTCTCATGACCACTGTTATGGCCATCTCCACCTGCATCACTTTGTTATGTGACTCTTCTTGGGGTAAGTGGGATTGTAGAGAGAGTTCACGAGAGAAGGAAGTTGGTGGGGGGTATAGAATGACAAGGAAAAGGGTAAGTTTATGACCAAAAAATTTAAAGAAAAGTATGAAACTTAAAAAAAAGCCCTTCTGTGGGGAAGGAATGGATATTTCATGGAACTAAACCATGTTTAAATTAGTAAATAAGTAAGAAACTTTATTTTACCGCGGTAGCCCATTCAGCATCAAGGACTGCGGTATCCATAGGGGTCCTGAGAAATAAAGATATGTACAATCTAAAAAATCTTAAAATTAAGTTGGGTCACAGTTACATCTATGCCATCTCTCCCAGATTTATGCGGGTGTCTTTGCGGAATCTTCTTGATACAGGCTAAATCTTCCTGTCACCTAGAAGTTGAGAAGGAAAGCATGTTTTCTCACCAATTTTGGCGAATTTGGGGGTAAACGTTTGATCCACCATTGCAGTTTGGTGATCACAAGTTCTTTTCAGAATTTTTAGGTTGGTGTCCCATGTTTGTTTCCTTTTATGGGGAGCGGGGATGGCACAGTGGTTAGAACGTTCGCTTCCCACTGATGTGGCCCAGGTTCCAATCCTGGACCCAGCGTCACATGTGAGTTGAGTTTGTTGTCGGTTCTCATCCTTGCTTCAACAGTTTTTCAGCAACTCTGTGTTCCCTGGTTTTCTTCCCTTCACAAAAACCAATTCAATCTTGAAGCAGTGGAAGAAGAGGCTCTCCACGGAATGTGCTTCTGCAAATTCCTATTTACTTATTTATTTTTTTAAAGTGGCATTGATCTAGTCATTAGTAGTTCAACTGAGTTGATTGTAGAAATATGAACATATAACAGGTTTCAAAATTAAAGTACACGAAATAAATAGGTTTAAGAATTGATTGACCTGAATCATACCTCAAAGCAAGCGACTTGTACTTAGTTTAAAATTCTTTAAGTGCCCCTATTTTTGTTGTGATAAGTCACTCCATCGACACCTTGGTTGACACTCAATTGACACTCAATTGACACTCTGTCGACATCTCAGTCGACAGTTGACTAATTTTAGATTGATGCATATGAGTTGGTCGACACTCAGCCAACTATTGACCAATTGTTGATAAAGTGTTGATTGAGTCAACTGAGTATAGATAAGGATATTGATTGAGGGTATCGATCGAAAGTCGATCACGGATGCCATAAGTACACATGATCCAATTTGTCCGGGATATTTAAGTAGCTTGATCTTCAGTGATGTCCAAACCATTTTTCACTCTGGCATTTCATGTTCTGTTTTTTTTTAATGCTTAAGTTTTGAAATCCATAATTCTTGAGATATAGATCAGTTTTAAATTAAGTGTCAAAAGTAATCAGGTGATTACTTTGGTTTTGGTTTTTACCACTTAATTATAAGCTCATATTTTGTGTTCTCTTGACCTACACAGGTCACTAGTTTTATAGTCAAAAGATATGAAGTCTTGTAATGGCACAGAGATGTGTCTGTTAATTTTTCAAGCAAGAGTGACATGTTCTCGGGAGATTGACTCCTTTGTGAAAAGGTCAGAGATGCTTGTCATCTTGCTTAGGGGTATAAATCCTCAGATTTAGTCTCACTTAGGGTGCTCAGGACCAATTACTGACTGTATTTTTAGTTGTCAAGGTGTCCTTTAGGGTTGCACTCCAAACAACTATACAAAAACACTGTTATGTTCATTTTAAAGTGGTATCTTTAAGGGGTCAAATAAAGCTCGAGCCATTCTCAGATTGGTCTTCTTAAGGGGTTTAATTCAAACTTTTCTACGAGCATCCCAAACCTTTTCACATGGGAGTCCCCCCCTCCAAGATGTGGAAGACCTCATGCTGATTGTATGGTGCCTAACGTTTGGAAGAATATCTTACTCGTAAAAAGAGTTATTTAAATAATTTTAGCTTTTTAAAGAAAGACTGAATTTGTTGCTTGGGATATGGTTTAGTCGCAAGACAAGTAGGATAGTTCTCTGGTTGTTCGATCCAGAGCTTGTGATCAATTTGATTGGCTGATAAATTCTGTGATAACTTTTCCAGTTCATCTTGACCTGGAGCCTGCAAATATAGTCAACAAATTCACAAGATCAGTAATTCCATGAAATATTTCATTGTTTTACTTTTTCCATTAGACAGAAAACCTTGATTTATTCACTGGGAAAAAAGCAGCATACAAATTTATAGACAATTACAAATTAAAATGTTACAACTTACAGAAAAGTATAACAGGTGAAATGAGTAACTAAAAAGAACTATTACAGTATTGTATATGCCAGAATCAAACAAAAAAGTGCTCTAACAGTGGCAGATGTAGGGGGGGGGGGGG